ATAATTTTGGCAGCAGAAAAATTGAAAGTGTGATTTTCGGACCAACAATGTTGCGCAACAGAAGACCTTTTTTGTGTTTCCTTTTTTCTAACATATGCCTCATGTTCCTTGACGCGAAATTTTAATGCTCTCTTAGTTTGGCCAATGTAAATTAAACCACACTGGCAAGGAATCCTATAAATACCCCAGGAATTCATATCCGGAATGGGGTCCTTAAGTATGGAACTCGGAATTTTATTGATGGGAGAATAAACATATATATGCTCATAATATAAGCATAATGATCATAATAAACCCGAATATGAACTAACCAAGCAGAACGAGAATGCAAATTATTAAGATCTTGATAGAAATTCAAACGTGTGTAGTATTTGAGTGAGAGGAAAAGAATGCCGAATGTACCGGAATTTTCTACTGCTTTCGCAATTCTTTGACCAATAGAACGACGGGCACCTGTCTGTAATCTTCGTGCACACTAAAGGTTATATTAATGCAGAGAAAGGGGGAAAAGCTATTTCCGGGAGTATGATTCACCATCTGGCATTCCATATTAGGAAGAAAAGTTGTTTATTTAGTTTCGGCTTTGGTACGGGAAAAACAGCGCGTTCATCAAAAAAAAAAAAAAAAGCACTAAAAGCAAAAAAATAAGCACTGAAAACAAAAAATAAAGGGCTTTAAAGAAAAAGTAAGCACCTATAAGGGCCTTTATATATTATTTTCAAATATAAGGACTTATAAGGACCACTACGAACCCTGGTAGAGTGCCAAGTGAATAGTAGCCACAAGTGATTTAAAATGAATAAAAGGAATTTAACGGATCAATTGTTTATTCTTCAACATGGATGGACGCTCTAAGCTTCAAGTATCTATGCATCTTATTTCAGTTCAGCGTTCTTATTTCAGTGCCTCTAAAAGTGTTCTGTCATTACATTCTTTGGCCAATTCTAATTATGAAGAAATCTACATGGGTTTGTTATTCTGTGTTCATAATGAATCATGGGAAAAGTCCTGTTTCACCAAAAATTATAATGCAAGTTTGTGCCGCATTCCTAATCAAATCTTTCATCTCGTCATTATCATTACATACATATGTGTACATACATATATACATGCATACATGAACACATACATCCATACACACATGCAATACATTCCTGAATACTGAATCCTGGATACCAATCTTTTTTTCTAATGAGTTTATTGCTTTTTGTTACATCAATCCTGCATTTCTTATTACTGTTTCATTCTTTTTTAAACATCATTATCATATGACAAGGCGGACTATTGGCCACCTCAGGAAACTTTTCGATAACCCCATCCATCCCTGCTGATTACATCAGTGTACAGATGCATAAGGAAGTATTTTGAAGCTGATAATATCTGTAAATGTATAATTTACATAATTTTTTATATAACATACATTTTAAGAGTTAAATTACATGTAATGATGCTGATGAGACTGGGCTGTATTATCGTGCTACACCGGACGGCTCGTTAAGTTACAAACATGTTGCACTCTCTGGCTCCAAAAAAGCAATGGATTGCATAACTATTTTTTCCTGCTCAAGCATGTCAGGAATGGGCAAGAGCAAGCTGTTGGTTATAGGGAAAAGCACTAAGCTTCACTGCTTTAAAGGACTTAGGATGGAGAGTTTACCAGTGTGAATCGTGTGAACAGAAATGCGTGGATGACCTCTGAACTTTTCAAAGAATGGCTGAAGGATTGAAACAGAGAGCTACAACGCCAGTCGAGAAAAGTGCTGCTTCTTCTTGACTATTGTGCAGCACATCCTCATTTAGATTGCTTGATGAACGTCCAACTGGAATTTCTATCTCCCAGAACCACAGCTTTGGTCCAGCCAATAGACATGGGCATCATAAAAAATTAGAAGACCCTTTATCGTGCAAGGTTGGTTAATTACATTCTTGAAGCAATTGAAGAAAGTTTGCTGACCTCATCGTCAAAAGCCAGCGAAGTTAGTGCAAAGATCAACATCTTTACAAGCAGTTACATTTGTGGCCGACAGCTAACGAAAAGTGAGCAGTGAGACAATTCAGAACTGTTTTTTCTCATTATGGCTTTAAGCACTTGGTTTTGGAGATGGATGTGGACATGCTCATTGAAAGTGAAAATGATGATGGACATGTGGAACTTCAACAGGTACAAAATTGCGAAAAATTTTTATCTATCGACAACGAGCTTCAATGCTATGATGAAAATTAAGATTACGACGCTGCAATCGTTGCAGCAAAACACATTGCAGCATCGGAAGACCAAGAAAGTGATGATGATGATGCCGCTAATAAGTTGGTGCAAGTGACAACACAGGATGCGAGGAAATGCATTGAAACTTTGCGTCAGTATTTTATGGAGGACGGAAATGAAGGCAGTCCCATTGCTGCGTTAGATGTTTGTGGCGATTTCGTTCACGTGCAATCCGTCAAGAGAACGTGTCAGATCACATGGGATAACTTCACATGTTGACTGGAAATTGGTAAGAAATTGTTTTTATTGTGCTTCATATGTTGAGTATTGTGGAGATCGTTTTTTAGAATTTGTTTCTAAATTAATTTTCTCAATGAAAAAAGTTCGACTGTATTTCTTGTTTGTACATGTATGTTCGCCATGCGTGTGTACCGCACCATAAAGTGCATAATCACATTTTAGTACATGATTTACATGTACATTTACTGTTTGCTACATATAGCATGTCCTGTCTTACAACATAGGACATGTTCATGTAATCAGACCAGCTGGTTATTAGGACAAAAACGATCGCTTCCCGATGTGGTCCGATTATCCGAAATCGGTTGCATATAAATTTATCAAATTAAGAAAAGTTACACTCATAGATATCTAATATTAAGTCAATTTTTTTTTGCACACACACATACATAAATGTTTACAATGAAGATATTCATGTTTTTAAGTGACAGATTATATTTAAAAATATATTGAGTGTTTAAAAAAAAAACTGCAAGATATAACATGTTTTGAATGATTGCTCAAAGGTCTACGATTATAGTTTTATGAAATGAATCAGATAAAAAGGCCTTTCTTCACTCATTCTTTCTTCAAATAATGTGATACCCCATATCATTAGAAAGTCCAGAAGTTCTTCATTATCTTATTAGATTCTAAAAAAAGATTATGTGTCTATAATATTCAAAAATAGCCTTGAGAAAAATGTTAAAATGATAAATCCTGGCTCTTTTTTTTTTTTTTTTAGTTTTATGTTTATATAAAAACTGACATTACATAAAAACTTAGAATTTTAACGTTTTTACAAATAGCGAAATGAAACACATGTTTCTATATTTGCTCGTCTGATGTTAAAAAAAAGGAATTCCAAAATTTACATGCATAACTTCATGTAGCCTCCAAATTTAAGAGTAACAAAGTTGTTTTATTGATGTTATCATCTTGCAGGATATACTTATTAAAAATGGTTAGTTTATTTTGTTATGGTTAAGCACATAAGCTATCTGCCTAAGGAAAAGAGTGTTCTTTTAAGGGAAACTGACAAACTTCATGTTACACATGGGGGACAACAATCTTTAGAAAGACTATTTGTATGGGTTTGAACCTAGATTTAACAACCAGTATTCAATGGCCTTAACTGCTCGGCCACTGATGGGACTAATTCTATCACATAAAATATCCTCAATGCTTCCTTACGAAGCCCATATAAAAATTAATCTTCATATATTTTATTAAAAGTGTCATGTGACCAGTCTTAAACATATCTTATTTGATTCATTTCTTAAAAGTGAAACCATGAAACCTAGATCAGGCATTCAAGAGCCACTTAATGAATTTTTTTTTTTAACGCTTCCTTATTATAGCAGCCTCTCCCCAGATTAAATCACGGATCAACTAAGATAGCTTTTCAAAATCTCTCCACATGTTCTTGTACCTCATCATATGTTTCACCTCGTTTAATTAGTGATTACATTTCGGGGGCTGCTATAAAAAGGAAACACCTTTAAAAAAAAAAAAAATAACTGGGTATTCCGTAAGGAGAGACAGAATATTCCCATAAAAGGTGGTTTTTTTTTCACTTAAGCTAAACATTCAGTTTAATACAAAATAAATACTTAAAAATTATTTTTCAGGGTTGGATCCTAGCAGAGGCAAATGATTTTGTGTGTGGCACATATCAATGTGTAAATGGATAAAGTCAAGGGAGTGAGCAATGCCAAGTGTGTGCAATTCTCTGAGGTTTTTTAAAGTGAAAATAAATCGGTGTGTGCATAAATAAGGAGTTTGAGCAATTCTTTGGCTTGTTACTTTCAAGTTAGCAATTTTGAGAAACACGCGAAGCAGTGCGCACTTTCCCAGTTTGTCGCCGAGGGTGTAGGCTCTCCTAGGATTTTACCCATTTCAGTTTATAAGTGTCATATTACACTTTTAAGTATGTGATAAAATGTTTTAAAGAAGAAAATTGGGTTCAAAATAAAGTAAGAAGAGATTGTCCATCAAAGAGGACCTGACGTGACTCAGCATGATCAAAGATTTATTGTTAGAAAATGTGAAAAAAATCCACCTTTGAGTGTTGTAAAGATTTCTACAGAATTCAAGGAAAAGTTTTCTACTTCAATTTCAGTTAAATTTGTTCAACAAGACTCAGATCAGCTGAATTACATAGGCGCTCTGCTCAAAAAAAAATTTTCTGGAAGTGCAAAAAATAGAAAACTTAGGCTTTTCTTCTCAAAATCAATGGTAAAAGCCCAGAGCATATTGGAATTATATCTTATTTGCAGATGAAAGCAAACTTAACATTTTGTATTCTGATGAATATGTAATTAATTATATGGAGAAAAAAAAAATAAGGAGCTTAATCCCAAGACCTTGGTTGGAACACTAAAGGATGGCAATGGAGGGGTTCTTGTGTGAGAGTGCATGTCACCATCAGAAATTTAATATTTATTGAGGGCATAATGAACCATGATCTTTATTTAAATACTTTAAAAAATAATTTTAAATTATCCACCCAAAATTTGGGTACTGGAAACAATTTTATTTATTATCATGGTAACGATCTTAACATGGTAACAATCAATAACTAATAATTTTTTTATTATGAGGGCATCTTTTTTTGATAAAGATACACTTTTTATTTAAATTATGCATTCATTTTTCATAATTGTTCTCACATTATTGGTTATATATGACTTAACTATTTTATCAGCATTAATTTGCATAGATAATGAATAATCTGAAATTTATTTCACGTGCAAATGATTGTCTGCAGACAATGTAAGAGGTTTTTCATCAACATGATCCATCAAATGTTTCTGCAAATCTCTCTTCCACTTGTATGTTTTACTACACTTCTCACATGTGTAAAGTTGCTGGCCAGTATGAATTAACATATGTTTTTTCATTGCACATTTTAATGTAAATGATTTTTTACATATATCACAGACATGAGCTTTAGTATCTGCATGGCTATTCATATGCATCTGTAAAACACTTTTATGTACAAATGACTTACTACATACATTGCAAGCATATGGCTTCAGACCCGTGTGCTTAAACATATGTACTTTCAGAGCACTTTTCTGAGCATAGGACTTACTACACAAATTGCATGAGTAAGGTTTCTGACCCATATGTGTAAACATATGCTCTCGTAATGTACGTTTTTTTGCAAAAGATTTATTACATACTGTACATAAATGGGGTTTCTCATCTGTATGGCTAAACATGTGCATCTTTAAATCATTTTTTTGAGCAAATAACTTATTACACACACTACACTCAAAAGGTTTTTCACCTGTATGAATACGCATATGATTCATTAACAGAGACCTATGTAGGTATGACTTGGTACATATATTACAAGCATAAGGTTTTTCACCCAAGTGAGTATGCATATGATTCATTAGCATATACTTATGTTTGTATGACTTGGTACATATAGTGCAAGCATTAGGTTTATCCTTTGAGTGGACACGCACGTGATTCATCAAAACTGACTTTTGTGTAAAAGATTTATTACATAAATCACATGCATGTGGTTTCTCACCGGTGTGTAAACGCAAATGAGTTCTCAAAATAGTAGTTCGTGTGAATGCCTTATTGCAGATACTACATACATAAGGTTTCACACCAGTGTGCGTATTTATGTGCACCCGTAATGCTCCTCTCTGGGCAAATGTCTTGTTACATACATCACACAGATACGGTTTTTCACCTGTGTGAATACGCATATGATTTTTCAAACTACCCTTCTGAGTAAATGATTTGTTACATTCTTTACATGGATATGGCTTCACACCAGTGTGAACACGTGCATGGAAATTCAACCTTGACTTCTGTGTAAATGATTTGCTACAAACATCACAGGCAAACATTTTGTCACATGTGTGTTAATACATATGCAAGTTCCAGGAACGTCTTGTTACACAGTCAGTCCCCTTCTACAACTGCATCAATATTGGTCTCTAAACATTCATTATATGCATTTGCCTCACTGCTAACTAAATGAAGGTAGTTATTGTATGAATGACATAATGCTTTACTATACAGTAGTTAAAAGACATAACATTCCCACCGATCAATTCAACATTATATAATAAGCGTCCAATTTAAATTTTGAAGATTTGCGTGCACATCTGAGAGATCAACATCAGCTGATAAACGATCATTGTCTCTACATTTATTTTTACACAGTTACAATACAAAGTTTTAAGAAATCTGTTGTCTTCTTCGATGGAACTTTTTGCATTTATGACAAACTTCACTTGTTTTCTATCTATTCAAGTAATGTTAACATAATTTTATTTTAATACCTCAGCTACATATTGTTTCCCTGAAATAAAGAAATTTTCTTTTTGAGAAAATAATAATAATGGAATTTCTTTAAAAAAATACAATGCTTCAGCGCAAGTTTCCCGAATCACTCCGTCAAATCCTTTACAGATTTAGAACAAACAGTGGTTTTGCAAGTATTTTTCCGCCTTTTTGTCATGTTGATCAATTTAAAAAAAAAAAAAAAAAAAAAATTTCTTGAATGAGTTTGAAAACGAATGTGTTTACCAAAATGAAAGGGTTATAGTAAAATTTTCAATTTCATTCAGTAATTTAGAGATCATTTAGTTAAAAGTCCACTTATAATTCTCTTCTGAAAACTATGTTAACGACTGCATAAAAGAACTCTTTTTCTGATAATCATGATAACTTAATACTGTAATAATCATTGCTTACGAATGTTATTCTTAATTTGTACAAAGAGTACGAAGTCCCTTTTTCCTCTCCTCTGAAATACGAAATTACCCGCTTTCTTCGCACCTCGCACCTAAGCTTGATTTTTCGCCCATCGGTGCAGAAAGATTTAGCAGGTGCAAAACAAGACATCTGTCAACTTTGTCTGTTATTCTTAATTGTTTAACTCATAATATATTTTGAAAAATAGGTATAAAACTTAGATATTATTACATACTGCAAATAACGGATGAATTTCAGATTTTTCTGTAGTGCTAGTTGGAAAGAAAAATCACATATAAATGCGCCCCCCCCCAAAAAAAAAAAATGTTCTATATTTCGCATTCTACTTGGGCCAATTGAGAAAATTCAAATTGCTTTTTTCATGTCTCGAAAGCGTGACTTACGATATATATTATATTTATATATAACTTTGTTCTAACATAACATATGGGTAAAATCCTAGTATACGGTGCAGCCTTGGCGCGCTTTTGAAAATTATTGCCAACACCAAAAATGATCCAAAGAACGTCTATATACTATACACTATATATAGTTGTATAACATAATATATACTGTATATAACTATGTATATTCTTTGAATGACCCGTTTACTGCTCATCGTATATGTCCCGTTTTTATTGCTCATCATAAAGTCGCCAAATCCCGTGTGCACCGGATACTAGGATTAAACCAACATACGTAGTTTGATACAAAATCGGACTTTTTCATTATGCCAGACTGCCAAGTTTTGTAAAAATCGCACGAGTAGTTTTTAAAAAATTAGCTCCTCAATGTTAATTGTATTTGGTATATATTAATATCTCTTTTTTTATTCTTCCTTTCACATTTCAAAATTTAGGCTCATTTCAAATAAAATTCACCCATTTTTTATTATTTATTTATAAAATTTGTGTTTTTAAATAATTTTTCTAAATTTTTCGAAAAAAATTTTGAATTATAAACTATACAATTTTTACCATCATCTTAAAATAGGGGTAAAGTGCAGAATCACCCACTTATTTGTTTGGCGCATTTTACAAGAGTAAGAAGAATTGGATTTCCGTCAATTTACAAACAAATGTGTTTTATAGACTTTTAAGTGAAAATAGGTCGATGTGTAGATGGATAAAGTTAAGAGAGTGTGCAATGCCATTATCGTGCAATTTTGGGTTTTTTTTTAAGTGAAAATAAGTCGATTTATACATGGATAGCAAATATGTTCAAGCAGTAAAAAATGCGCAAGCAGTAAGTGATTCTGCACTTTCCCCTAAAATAGATGTATTTCTAAGCATACATACAAAAAATTAGAGTTTTTTATAAAAAATTTCTGAGATGTACATGAATTTACATATTGGGGCATTTTGAAATTGGGCATTTTTTTTTAAAGCGATTATAACGCCAAATGTGGTTTATGGATTTTGTTACAGTCAATTGCAACAGCTATTTTTAACCTTAAAGTTCGAATAAATTTTTACGGAGAATTAATTATATGGAATTTTTTCCCCTCAATGATGAGTAATAAATATTTATTAATACTGTATGAAAAGCTATTTTTTAAAAATTATACATGATAATGTTCAAATTTTTAACATTTTATTTTTAAATTTCTTTCCTTCTTCCTTTTTCAGTCCAAAGGGGCTTTGACACTGAAGGACTATTGTTTTCGTTTTGCAATTTTGCATTGGATCGCTATAAATGTCCATTTTACTTTTCAAACTATTGCCACCAAATGTTAGAGTCCTGCATTATATTTGAAAAAATTAAATAATGAAAAATCTGCATAAATGTATGTATGTTATTCGCATTGTGATAAAACAACGGTACATAGAGCCATCGAATTTTGAATGATGTAATCCTCCTACAAATATGGGCATGTGGAAGACCAAATTTGAAATTTGGAATTTGTTTTATTATCGATTTCATATTTTGTAAAACTTTAATGAATTTTTTAGTAAGAAATTAAATGATTTAAAAGCGAGCAATGGCAACACTCTATTGGGGGGGCCTTTTTATCTCCAGGGCGCGTAACTGTGTATCGGAAATTCTAAAGATACGCTCATTTTAAAATTATTTTGCGACATTGCTATTGAACTGAATTTAATGGTTTAAGTGCAAAGAACATAATATTTAATAAATAAAGGTAACACACAAAACATTAAAAAAACGCACCTTTGGATGTAATTTAAACCGTGAAACCTTTCAGATTTTTTTAAACATTTTTATTTTATTTTTGCGCAGTGTCCAAATACAAATTACTTGATTCTAACTGCATCTAATAATTAAAAGAGAAATTTAAAAATGTATGGATATAAAAAATGGAGAGGTCAAATGACATCATCAAGTAATATTAAATAAGCTAAGTAGAATACATTTCTACAAACAGAAGGATAAATCCTGTTTCACTTCTGCTAACATACTGTCTGTTTTGTGGGATTCATAATTGGTCAATTTGTTTATTCTTATGCAAGTTCTAAATCACACAGGTGTAAATAAATTTTTGTTTAAAATATGTTAAGTGCAATTCATGTAGAATATATGGTAGTCTTCTCTTATCCAGGATTGGCTTCAGAAATGTATATGTGCATGTATGTATATGTGTATAAACACACATATGAACATATATACATGCATGCATGAAAACATCTATCCATCCATCCATCCATTTCTGAATATGGCCCTGATAACACAAGAGTACCGAATATACCATTATAAAATTTTGACTGAAAATTTTGCATTTGTTTTTTGCCACTTACATTTTTTTAAATTTATCTAAAAAGGTATTTACTGGAAATTGAAGAAGCTTTTTGCATATTGATTTAAAAATCTTATAAAACTATATGTTGAATATGTTTCTAAAGTTAAAGCAATTTATTCAAAAATTGTAAAAAAATATGTATGAGTTGCATTTTAAAATTTTAAATGAAAATGCATAACAAGAATTATTGTGTGCAGACATTTTAAAGGTGGTAAAAGTATTAGCATATAAAATGTTCAATTAAAATAAAATAAATATAAAATGGTCTTGGACTCGTAGATCAGCCAGTTAGGACCAGTAACAACATGTTCAATTATTTTTAATGCTGGGAAACAGTTCTTGACTCTATATAGATAAAAAGGTCTAAAATACACTTTTATGATAAATGGAGTAAAAGAGTATTACACCTGTGCCCCTCCATTAATCCTGTCCAGTCCATATATAAGATTTATAGCTGGATTAGAAGAACAGTGTTCAGTGAAAGTTTATTGTACAATTATCAGATGAGTTATTAGGGAAATATATCTACCGAATGGAAAGATGGAAATTCTTTATGAACATGAAAGAAAAGCTACAAAAAAGTACTGAACAGGTAATGAAGTATCTACAGTGACTCCCAAAAGTGTTAGTACACTTACAAGTTTCAGTGAAATTTCAGTGAATGTTATATTCATCAAGGAAAAATATTTTAAAATGAAATTTATTTAATATATATTAATTTCTCTTAGCAAAATTACCATAATTGTTTTATGAACATAGTGTTACGGATTTGGTATTTAAAAAGCAAATGTTAGTTCAATTATAAATTAAATGGTTTTATTTCTCGCGCAGTGCAGCGCGTGACGAATATTAAAAGAAAGCTAAGCCGGAAAATTGAAAATACAAGAGCGCGTGCATTAAATAAATAAATAACTCTTTTTCATTTCCAGAAAGTACTGGAAAATTCTAGCGCGTGATTTTAAAATCTTTATAAAAGGAGGAAAACATCTCAGTTCGTAGTAGTTTGCTTAGTTTGTTGTTGTTTAGAAAACTACTGTTGTTGATTGTAGCGAATTCGCGGATTAGCGTTCTTTAGCTGTTTTGAATTACGTTCTATTGGACATTTTGTAGTTAAAAGAAAATACTGTGAGATATTGTAATACTGCATGATAATTTGAGAAAATTTAAGCATTTTTGTTGTGATAATAATAAATTTTTGTTCATTTTTCATCGGACTTGTGCATTCATTTAGTAACGAATCCGTACGCACGCAACAATTTTGGTGTCAGAAGTGGGATTTGAATGCCAATAACAAGAGCGATTGAAGAGCAGTTAAGGCAATTGATAACAGCCTTTGCCTCGTTTAAAGAAGAAATGAAAGAAGAGATGAAATCAAGCCAAGGAAAGATGGAAGGGGCCGTCAACTCTGTTAAGGACGAAATGAAAGCCGTTCAAGCTGGTCAAGAAAAGATTGAAGCAGGTCAAGAAAAGATTGAAGCAGAAAAGGAAGAGATGAAAAGGGATAATAGAAAATAAATTTGAGAGCTATGGAAGGCAGAATTGACGCAGGTTGAAAATAAAGTTGGACTAAATTGAAGAAAGAGTTTCTTCGGTGAAAGAAGAAAATAGAAGAAAGAGTTTCTTCTTCCTGTAAAAGAACATATAGAAGGGAGAGTTTCTCTGCTGTGGAGGAACGAATTGAAGGAAGAGTTTTGTGCCGTCCAACACCAAATCGAACAACAAATTGATGAGAGAGTTTCTGAAGTTGCCAAAGAAATGGATACTTTAAAGAAATTCGTAGCGTCGGCAGGGAGCAGGAGTGATGATTTTAAATTCTTACCAATGCCTGCTCGTCCACCTCTGAAGCTATCCACATATGATGGGAAGACCTCCTGGCAGGTGTATAAGACACACATTTTCTATCTATCGTGGCGGATGCGAATGGATGGGATTCCCAAGCTAAGGCCTGTCATCTCGCCGCTTCTCTAAGAGCCGACGCAGCGGATATCCTTCAGACTCTTCCCGAAAACAAAAGGTTAGATTTCGAAGCTCTGTCCGGCGCCTTGGAGTTGCGCTTTGGGGAGAAGTGTTTAAAAGACTACAGCAGGCTCCAATTAAAATCTCGTCAACAGAAGCCTACCGAAACACTTCAGGAGCTCGCCACGGATGTTGAAAGGCTGTCCCACCTCGCCTTTTCGGAGTGCCCGACAGAAACAAGAGAAATCCTGTCGCTGCAATATTTCATCGACGGCATCCGAGATCCTGAAATACAGAAAGCTCTTCGAATGGC